CCCCAAAACCCCAAAACCCCAAAACCCCAAAACCCCAAAACCCCACAATTTGTAATAGAAATTGAAAAGCTAAATATTATTTAATAAATTTTAAAGTAGCATCTGAATTAGAAAAATTAGAGAAATTGGGCAAGCTCTCCAATTTCCTAAAAATTATTCATGGTTTGAAAAATAATGATAAAATAATGTAAAAATATTCAATAAAAACAACCAAAGTCAAACAACAGTTATCAAAATTTTGAGACTAGTATGAATTTACCTTATTATTGAGTATTTTTATGAATCTCTTTCTTTTAATTAACTACTTTAACTTATCTTGATTTTTAGAATATACCGCAGTTTCATTATAAAATTATATTTCTCTAGAAATATCAATACTAATTAATTATAAAGCACTTCATAAGGTCTTTTATTAATTCTTCATAGGCCATTCAAACATAATAAAACCTCATTATTGAAGCAAAGGCATGGTTCATAATTCGTTTCTAATCACTCAAAAATGTTTTAGAATACATATCTGTGATCCAAAAGTTATTTTAGAATTTGTAAAATTTGTGATTCTCAACTCACAACAATCACTCTCCTTCTAAGCATAATATGCTTGGGCATAATAATCGTTAAAATTGATGAACTCTACATGCTCAAGAGAATATCTTTCCTTCATATCTCTCAGATCCCACTCTTTGATATCCTGCCTCATTTCTATCTTCTCCAGAGACTCTTGAATACAAGAGCAAGATATTAACTTCATGATAGAGGGTAACACTTTCGATTCAAAGTTATTCCTGGATGTATCACCTTCTCATAGCGTAAAACGGAGAGTGCTTATACTCGTTTTGTGCATGAAGCTCGGGTTTTTCGTAATGGGGGATAAGGCACAAGTTATAAAGTTCAAGTATTTAGAATTTACACTGTTTGTGAAAATCAATTGCAAAGCCTTAGGTGAAATCTTAACTGAGTCAAATTGCATCTCTACTGTTACATTTGGTAATAGTGGTGTAACAGAGCAGAGATATTTATCTTCCAGAAATCTGTGATTCAATACAAGCAAGTTTTGTAGAGTTATTCCCTTCATTTTTCCTAAGATATACATTGTTTCTTTCTTTGAGAATTTATGGGAACACAGCTTTAAGGATGTATATAAATTTCCTAAATCTCTTTGCACTTTATGTAACAATCTATTTTTGTTTCTTCCCTACAAAATAGTAAAAGCGTACCTTGCACCAGAAAGTGGGATCTATCGTAAGATGATCTATAAGTTAACCATTATAAATTTAAGAAGAATGAAAATAAGCGCGCAGAGAGCTATTTGGAAAACTTGAAGACAAAACGATATTCTAAGTTTTTATTTTAATATTTTGTAAGAGACTCTGCAAATTATATTTCTATAAGTTTCTACTTTTAAAATTCAAATTTAATGCTAACCCAAAACTATCAAACCCAGTTTATCTTTCAAGGATTATAGACATTAACTGAATTTGATATGGATTTTCAAAAACTACATACTCAACAAACCAGTTATATTATAGCAAGAATTAAGGGCAGTTAAACTGTCACAATAAATATTTGGCTAACAAGATGTTCGAGATGCATTCACACATATATTGAGATGCGATATTTCTTTTATTGCTATGTGAAGATTTCAGGAAAGTTTGTAATGAATAAAAAAGAGAATTCAATAGCTAGATCTTTTTATCAATTAGTTGAGCAACCTCTAATATTTTGGTAGATATCTTTTTCCCGATTTAAAGTATCCTTTTCGTTAAGCGCTAGGTTTTTGGTAGGGTTTTCCATTTTTAGATTCAATTATTTTAATTTAAGAGGGGTTTTGGGGTTTTGGGGTTTTGGGGTTTTGGGG